CAGAATCTCGTTCGATTTTGACCAGAGCGCACTGCATTGGACCTTCCTCTTTCGAATGAGACCTCATTCGACCGAAAAGCTGCTCATATAAGGACAAAATTTCTTGTTTCGAGAACCCATATTTCGGGCCGAATTGTGTCGGTATACCGCACGCTGCATTGCTCGTGCCTACCTCCTTCGGTGTCTTTCAATCGTCGATTCATTTTTGCTCATTTATTATTTACAGTAAATCCAACACATACTCTCCCACGAAGCGTGTATATAAATGAAGAAGACTTTCGCGGCAATATTTTATTTTAATCAACATGCAACCCCACTCTAAAATCTTCCACAATAATGTTTCCAAAAAAACTTGATTACTATGCATTCATTTGAAAATTTTACTGTACAAAATAAAGTAACATTTATTTTCGTGAATAATGTAGGGTATGAAATTGTAGACAATAATGTAGCGAAAGGCTGCAATACTTACTTTGAATATTCGCTCAAGTAGAGAGGTAACGCGTGCGCGCTCTAGCCGGATTGGAAACATTTGAAAACCTGGAAAGTATTGTCAGACTCCAAACTCGCAAAACTATTGGCCGATTCAAAACTTGATCGATTCCGAGATCCATATGGAATCGATAACTTTCTGTAGTAATTTGTGCTTGACGATTATTAAATATTAAATGTGGGTAATTATTTAGATTACGGACGGTAACACCGATTTCGGTGATTTTTGAATATGTTATAGAAATCAACATTTTGAACAACTTTTTCCTATACATATAACCGCCGCTCAGCCTTAGTTTCAGAGATTTCTCTTCAAAAAGATCGCTGCTACTACATACAATGAATTCTATCTATACGTAAGTACATGCTGTGGCAGCGTGTGTGTAAGCGTTCAATCGCCGATTGTTCATTGTTTCTATAGATGCATCGAGGCGGCCGACAATGGGTGTGCCTAACGGCAGCCGGCATAAAAACATCTAACCCTTATAAACCTAATTATTCTACCTAGTAACTAATATAATGGATTAGGTCTGGGTTAGATTTTCTTATACCGGCCGCCGTAAGGCGGTCGGCCACGTATTCATTTTCTATTTCAATTTTCTCTATTGATATTATCAGAAGTGGGAAACATTTCATTATTCGATCATTAAAATCATATTGTCGATGGAAGAAGAATTCAGCTAAATAGCCTACATAATGTATTTGGCGAGTTCCATACTTCGGAATATTCGAACCATTGACAGCAATACAGAACTAGATTTAGCTTCACACATTGTGCATTATTTCTTGTCACAAACAAGAGAAAAAATCGGCGATCGTGGACTGACGCATACAGAGTCACGGACATGTACATATAGACAAAATTCATTGCAGTAGCAGCAATCTTTTTGAAGAAAAATCTCGAAAAATAAGGCCAAGCGGTGGTTATATGTATAGGAAAAAGTTGTTCAAAATGTTGATTTTTACAACATATTCAAAAATCATCAAAATCGGTGAGACCTCCCCCTTGTCTAAATAATCCCAAAATTTGTTACAAATAATGTATATGTATCGAAATAATTATAAAACTAAAAGTCGTATAATCATCATTATCCGGGGGCTGATCACGCTCAAAATCTAATCAGACCTTGAAACGAGAACATAAAACTGAAATGTAAAGTTTCATTGAAATTCATTCAGCCGTTTATATGTAATAGGAACAAAAAAAAAGTCTTTTTTTTTAATAGTCACAATATGATCAGGGGGTCCTAAAACGTGTATTTCCGCTAAAAAAAAATTTCGACATTTTTTTTACATTATGATACTTCATAAATTTCCTTATACCTTACATAGGTCGGAAAGTAAAAATGCTGGGGCAGTCGAGGCTTGGAATCGTATGCCGCTTATCGCGAGGTCGTGTTTCAGTTGTTTCTCTTTTACAAGAGCAAGAAGGAAAGGCTCACACTAGCGTTCTTTATTTCACTACGTTAGACGCTAAGGAAGTTCGCCGTCATTACTGTCGATTTCGATGTACTCAATTATGTCGAAATAAGAGATTTTGCCCTTATATGAGCAGCTTTTGGGTCGGATGAAGTCTCATTCGAAAGAGGAAGGTCCAATGCAGTGCGCTCTGGTCAAAATCGAACGAGATTCTGTTCACATTTATTAATATAAACGTCGAAAGTCGAGAAAAAAATGAACGAAATACAGCCACAGAATCGAGGTCTTTTTAGGTTACTAAAAGAGTTGTACGATTCCAATACTGAATCACCTGCATAGATCCCGCTTCGTGGGAGACTCTATGTTGGATTTATTGTTAATAATAAATGAGCAAAAATGAATCGACGATTGAAAGACACCGAAGGAGGTAGGCACGAGCAATGCAGCGCGCGGTATACCGACACAATTCGGCCCGAAATATGGGTTTTCGAAACAAGAAATTTTGTCCTTATATGAGCAGCTTTTCGGTCGGATGAAGTCTCATTCGAAAGAGGAAGGTCCAATGCAGTGCGCTCTGGTCAAAATCGGACGTGATTCTGTTAACATTTATTAATATAAACGTCGAAAGTCGAGGAAAAAATGAACGAAATACAGCCGCAGAATCGAAGTATGGGTTAGGTTGTCAGCATCTGGCTTTCTCGGGGTGGGGGGCGACGGGCCTATGTATCGAAGCTAACGCTTCACTTTGGTATGGTTTCACCTTCACAGCCCTCTTGATTAGGCGCCATCTCGTAGCGACTGCCTGAACTAAATTTGTCACGTGACTTGCTCTGCTATTACCCATGTAATGGCGGAACTCGCTTGTGGGAATGCAATTCCGAAATAAGAGATTTTGTCCTTATATGAGCAGCTTTTGGGTCGGATGACGTCTCATTCGAAAGAGGAAGGTCCAATGCAGCGCGCTCTGGTCAGTATTGGAATCGTACAACTCTTTTAGTAACCTAAAAAGACCTCGATTCTGTGGCTGTATTTCATTCATTTTTTTCTCGACTTTCGACGTTGATATTAATAAATATGAACACAATCTCGTTCGATTCTGACCAGAGCGCACTGCATTGGACCTTCCTCTTTCGAATGAGACCTCATTCGACCCAAAAGCTGCTCATATAAGGGCAAAATCTCTTATTTCGAAACCCCCTATTTCGGGCCAAATTGTGTCGGTTTACAGCGCGCTGCATTACCCGTGCCTACCCCCTTAAGACAGGCTGTTCGCATTTAAAGGTCCACAATAAACGACGTCGTCGAACTCTTTCGACGACGTGAAATTATATATAACGTGTGACAATTACTTTTCCATCCTCCTATTCCCTCGTGATCCGGACCCCCGTTAGACGAGGTTCTCAAATCAGTGTTTGAGCCCTCCACATTCTAACATACGTGGTGCTTGAAATTTTTATGTTTTGACTGTTTTTGTGAAAAGTACCATCCAGATTCATGTACTTCGTACATTGAAAATAACATATGTTAAATGTAATCGGTTAAATTTAACTTTAAAAAAAAATATTCGAAGGTCAGACAAAAATATAATGTCATATTTAGTGTACGCTTAAAGTATGATTGAAAAAATAAAAAAAAAAGTTCAAGCAGGGTTCGAACCAGCAGAGCAGAAGAAGTTCGGAACTTGCAGGCAAAGACCTCATCACTCACGACACGCTGATTAGTGGTGAACATAGTTCTATTTCTGAAAATAAGTACCTGTAATAACTATAATAATATCTCAAAGTAAAACCTAACCCAAAACCTGGTACTTACCATTCCAACTTTTCCTTGTTAGAAACGAGTTTTCAATTTGTCTTAGCGAAAATCGCAATCACATTTTGCACATTATTCTAAAACATTTGTGGTATTCGTTTTCAATGCGATTTAAGTAAGCATGTAATGTATAAGATTTAATTTAATGTTTTCTTTTCTAGAGAAGATAGAGAAAAAGTTTATATAATTTTTTTTATATAAAATTTAATTCGTCCTAAGATTTATATGAAACATTTAAAAGATTTTTTATACATTATGTCTATATATCGGAACAACTATGAAACAAGAGGTATAATCTGTAAGGAGTGTATGTGTGTGGCTAGGAGAACCGTTATCGTTTGCGTCGATAGGAGTGTTTAGTCTAAGCTAGAGTAGGTATCGAGTGAGGTGTTTAGGTTTAAGCTGAAATACGTTTTAGAGACTGCGTCTCGAACGTGCGTTTTGTTTAGATCATTATTATAAGATAGGAATAAGGAAGGGTCGACTTTGACTGCAGGAACGTCACTCTGTATCGAACGTTAGTCGAGAGCAATCACAGTTTTACGTTTACGTTTTATGTCTTTCTTTTATGTTCTTTATGTTAAATAGTTAGTAAATATTAAATAATATAATTACATCGTTACGTTTAGTGTTCACGTATTTGAATCCGTCCACACGCCTTTGAAATGAGAACATAAAACTTAAATGTAAAGTTTCATTTAAATTCATTCAGCTATTTATATTCAATCGTATTAATAATATACATATGTGTGCTCATACATGGTAATAAAAAAAAATTTCTTTTTTTTCAATAATTAAAATATGATCAGGAGGTCTTAAAACGTGTATTTCCGCAAAATAAATTTTACAAAATTTTTTTTTCATTATGGGTACTTTGCTTATGTGCGCCTACATAGGTCGGAAAGTAAAAATGCCTGGGCAGTCGAGAATCTCGGCTGGAGAATCCAAATCGTATGCCGTTGACGGGAGGTTGGATTTCAGTTGTTTAGAGCGAGAAGGCAAATGTGAGCCTTTCTCTCTCGACTCCCACGAGGCGATCCGAAATTACTTCGGGCAGCTTCGGAGAATCGAGAAAGAGAGCATGCGTCAGTTTGCCTTTGTCGACTTTCCGAAACTCCACGAGCTCACGTACGCGTATCTGGCATGTGTGCGTGTGCACCCGGCGGTGCTTTTCTGGCATCTCTGCGCGTGGCTATGCATTAGAGTACGTAAGTAGTGGGGCAGTTTCCTTATGGTGTCGGTCTGCCGTCTAGTGACAACTGCATAGTCTCGTAAAATGTGACGTGCATGATAATTGCTGACAGTATTCGAATTTCATTTTTTGAATCGTGTGTCTATTCGACCCAAAAAGTTAGTTCCTTTTAAAGTTTTAACGATCATAACCATCGTCACTCTTGTTCCTACAACGTGAAAACAACGAACGTGACTGTGTAACTTTACGTCTAATTTACGATACATTTTTACTCGCTGTGTTGTTCTCTATTTAGAGCACTTTCGTAAGTTTTTTAAATTTAATGTTTACTTTTTGTTACCGATGAAACAGTTCAATCCCCTATTTCATTGTATTTCTATATTTTCGTTCAATATTACGATGATTTTTGTTCATGAAAGAAACTTTCGATAGGTTAACTTTATGCGACGCCGAGATCATATTTTTCGGGGTGGGGGTATTAATTAAGAGAATGTGGTTGGGGAAACGAGTATGTATCGTTACCGTTAGTGGTCAATTTTCTCAAATCATTATTAACTTCGTTTGTACACGCTGTTTTGTAAATTATATTTGTGAATGTTCGATTTTTTTTGATTCGTTTGTGAAAGATTTTAGGTTTTAAAATTCTGTTATAATAATATGGCGATATTGATCCGCTATTTATATATCTTAGAGAGTTTGTATAATACACAGAACCTTTGTTAACTCTACGTATAATTTATTGTTTAGAATGGGAAGCAGCGGCCAATTGTATAGTCTCTCCTGGGGAGAATTTAGTTCATCGTTAGCTTCTGCAGTGCAGCTATTGAGAGGTCATGGTGATTTGGTCGATGTTACTTTAGCTGCCGGTGGACGCAGTTTTCCTGCGCATAAGATAGTTCTTTGTGCAGCTAGCCCCTTCCTATTGGATTTGTTAAAGGTTATAACAATTGGTTTTAGAAATTTCATAATATTAAAAAGTTCCTTGCTTTTTTAGTAAATTTCATAATATATTTAATGTAATATCTTTGAATGTGCTGTGTATTAAAACTTTTGGTTTGACATACATTTCATTATTGTAATTCATTCTACATAAACAGAGCACACCGTGTCAGCATCCAGTGGTCATGTTAGCTGGTATAGGCGCCGATGATTTGGAATCGTTATTGGAGTTTGTATACCGTGGTGAAGTGAGCGTAGAACCATCTCAATTGCCTTCTCTGCTTCAAGCTGCTCATTGCCTTTGTATTCATGGATTAACACCACCTACTATATTAACCGAAGTATGTCTTACAAAAAAGATTTTTACATATTTTTGATACATATTGATTGTACTATGATTAGATATTACATTTTATCTTATGAACTTTTAAGTTACTTCGTAGAGGGTGGATTGAAAATATAACATATCAATGAAGAATATTTTTATTTTATATAATTTTCTATCTTTACTATGCGAAGTAATCAAAGGACAAAATAAAAATTGATTATTATTTTTCATAATGTTTTTTACATATATCGTTATAAGAAAACAGCTTTGTTTATTTGCTTAGAATGGAGAAGAAGTACCTGCATCGGAAATACCGGCAGCAAACGAAGCCTTATCGAAAGAAACGATTAGTCCATATTTTCCATTAAAACGACGGAAAAAAAGAAGAAAGTCCTCGTCTTCTTCTGGGAAATGGCCGCGTACTAGTAGTAATGTCGATAATGAAAATAGGCCCGTAGATGGAAGCGATAGCCGATCAGTTGGTTACGATCACAAAGACGAAGACAATACGGAGCATGGCGATGATACAGGTAAGAAGCATTCAGAATTATGTAGAATAGTGCATTTCATAATCATTACGTTCTTTAAAATGTTTACAAGTTTAAGAATACATTCGAATTGTAATCTGATATTAAATATTTACTTAAGATCGTGACAAATATCATTTTATAATCGTATATTTTATTTATGTTCTTACTTTCATTTATTTATAAACTATACATTGAATTGACTTAATTATTTTTATTGTTATGTATGTTTCAATAATTAGTTCAGTAAAAGAATTTTGATAAATTGAAAACATGATATTACTTGTGTTTTGTGTCCGATGCATATATATTATTTTAATAATTTATCTCGGAAAATTAATATTCTTTGATCATAATCTATAAATTTTCAATCTTCCCAAGCTTTTTGCTTGTACTAGAACGGACACAAGCACAACCATCGATTGGGTTGAACTGCATCTAATCAATTATACCATACGTTGCGATTAAAAAATTTCAGATTAAAAAAATCAGTTCAGCCCTGCATGGTAACGTGTTTGTGTCTGTTGACAGTGAACGATCGATTGGAATATTCGAATCATCGGAGTTGTCATTCGCCACGTCCACAAGAAGCGCAACCAGTTACGACAGAAAATTCTCAAGCAGGACCGCATCAAGATCAAATATCGGACAATGAGTCGCATCTTCATACTTTAATGCCAATGCAGCCATATTCTCCACTGCACATACCGCAATTTCCTGGTCCTCTCAGTATGGGTTTTCCTCCTGGTATACCGCTTCCGTTAGTTACTCAAGGTTCAACTTCTGGAACAGCGTCTTGTGGACTTACTGGGAATATGAATTTGTCTAAAATACGTGGTGCGTCGGATTGTCCTGGCGTTTGCCCGCTTTGTGGTGCTACGTTACGGCAAGCAAGAAATTTACGTAGACATCTCCTATCGTCTTGCAAATATAGGTTTAGTAGTAATCCGGTTCCGAGTTCTCCAGCTGACGCGATGATAATAGAAATAAAACCTGAAGTCGAACTGCCCGGTTACAATGAGCAGTCTATGACATATGGAACTGATAGCGGAAGTAGTACCTGTGAGCAAATAATTTGTAAGCCCAGTCCACTTCCTTCGCCGACGTCGCACGGGCCGAATGTTGTCTCGCCACAAAGCAACATTCCGTCTCCAATTGCTAGATGAATGTACAGTACGGAATTAAAGGCAAACATTTGATACGAGCAGAATTATTATTCTGTGAATTATTTAATTTCGTTATTGTGATTCGGGGGTTATGTTGTTTTTTTTTTCAGCGATTTGTTCGACCCCAATATGTTAGAAACTTAAATTAAGAAAGCGCAATCATTTTTTACCTATCATTTTAATGTACTTATATGAATTTATGTTTAAACTATTAGTTGTTTGCGTTGATCGATGAAGTACAGAAGAAATGGACTGACGTTATTTTGATCAGTTTGTAATGAATTGATTGTTATATTACTTGTATAGTTTATTTTATATTTCTATCTTATTAATTTCTCTTTTTCTGTGGCTCAAATTAATTCGAAACGATCCGAAGAATGTAAAACGAACTTCATATATAAAAATCTTCCACATTAGTAAGTAAGATCGGAATCTTAGGGATAATGGGAATAGCACTTGGTGAAAAACTAGGCATAGTAAAAATGATGGTTTAAGTATTGCAAAATGTTTCTTCTGAATTTTCCATGCCATTCAGATATTTGCTACGTGTTTCATACAAATTTACTTTTGTAACGCATTTTTTCATTTATTTTGCAAACAAAGTACTGAATTAATGTTTTAACATTATACACGTGTAAGTGGAATTTGAATTTCTGTCGATTTATATATTTTCTGGAAAAACGATGCTAATGACAAAGTTTAAGTAAAAACGAAGTATTTCCATTTTTTTTTGACTAATTGTTTCTCGATTAATAAAAGAAACTCCTGTATATTATTTATTATAGCGTCAGAGTTTGGTAAATGTTTAACTGTCAGAAATTCAAGTTCCTCCGCATATAAATTTATTCTTTTTTTTTAAGGCTACCATTATTATTATCATCGGTATGCATCTCGTTTAGAATTTAGATTCGAGTTTCATAGTCGTGTACGTATACAGCAAGAATAATTTGGATCGCGTCTACAATATTTCTAATCTACATTAGGTAAGAAAATTTATCAAGAGAAAAGTAAATAGTTTTCTGAGCTACTTTTGCGAATACTTTCTAGGGAATATAATCTTTTTGTACTGCCCTTACGCGAGAAGAAGGATAGGCAGTATTTACATGGACTAACTAGAGTGTGAATATAAATACTGCCTAAACCTTTTTCTCGTACAAAGACAGTATGCATATACAGGGTGTTCGGCCACCCCTGGGAAAAATTTTAATGGAGGATTCTAATGGGGGCCAAAATAAAACGAAAATCAAGAATACCAATTTGTTGATCGAGGCTTCGTTAAAAAGTTATTAACGTTTATAGTTCCGCCTGTGATAGTGGTTCTCATTCAGAATGAGAAACTCTACTTGCTGACGTATCGACAGTCTTACAGTTTTCTGAGTGAGAACCACTATCACGCGTACGCAGCTGTTTGCAGATTGCCGTTCTACAGGCGGAACTTTAAACGTTAATAACTTTTTAACGAAGCCTCGATCAACAAATTGGTATTCTTGATTTTCGTCTTATTTTGGCCCCTAGAGTCTTCCATTAAAACTTTCTCCCAGGGGTGGTCGAACACTCCGTACATCTTCTTTGTTCATAACCTTTTTGTTTGATTTTCAATCCATTTTCGTAGAATAGCAATAAAAGTGAGAGAGTTACAGACAATGAGTTACGGCGATCCTTTTGGTATATCATTAAGATGTCTTCAGACTTCGTGGAATTAATTTTAGGAGATGGATTGTCCAAAGCACGAAGCATGTCCGATCAGCCAGCATCTTGTCCACTGTGCGGTGCAATTTTGCGCCAATCACGAAATTTAAGGAGACACTTAGAGCTCCTACATTTTGGACTCGGTAGCAATAATAAATCCGGTATACATATGAGACACCGAAGGACTGATAGAAGTAACGAACTCATTCGGTCTACGTTAGCGTCTATTTGCCCGCCACACACGACGAGGACGGATTATCCAAGAACCGAGAATACAGATTTTTCGACATCCCTTTCCATTGCTTCGACGGTCAGTTCCAGCGCATCGAGTGTCAGTCTTGCAGGTGAACGATTAACAGCTTGAATTAGAGTTCACAAGGATGATTGATACAATTACTTTTGATAATTTTATTATCGTGAACAAGTAAATCGTATATACATATGTACACCACCTGACCTAAGTATTAGAACACTTGGCCGTAACTGTGTCAATATTTAGACCATTCTAATTTCGTGAAAAGAAGCCTTACAATAATTCAGTTTTTCCTCGAAGATTCTAAAAAATCTCCTTAAAAGTTGACTTATACTATAAGTATTAGGACACATTTGTTATATCCGTACAAAATGAGCTATTTATTTATTAATCAACTTCTAAGTCATGTGTTTGTTCATAATATAAAATAATCGTTAAAATGAAATTGATTAGAGATCCAGAATAAATTGCAACATTTTTCACTATTATTTCTTATGCAGGATGCGGCAGAAATTAGTCCATATGTTTTTTAAACCCCTTTCGATGGTTTAACAATAAAATGTGTGGTATTAATCAGTAGTTAATCGACAAGAAATTGCAATTTTTTAAATTAAAAGAAACAATTGATTTTATTTGATACTTTTGACTTGATAGTATTGTAGGCGATGCTAAAACGAATTCGACGAACTAATACGAGATGACCTTGATCAATACAAGATGATTTCGAAGGATGATATCGACATGAATCCACCCTCACAATGTTATATGTGTTTACGTTCATTTGTTTACGCCTAACTGCGAGGTGTTGGTGTTAAGTATAGCCGAATTATTTCAAACACTGTGGGAATCATGTCGATATCTTCTTTGAAGGTCATCTGAAGATAAAAACATCACTAGGATTTTATGAATTAAAAATTTTCCTATACGCATAACAAAAATGGAAATAGCATAACGGTAATGAAAGTTTGAAGAAAACAAGGGAAACTGCAAAGTTCGTGGTACTGTATATCGAGCGATATTGTATCAATCTTCCTGTTGCATTACATTTTATTCTTGTATCGCTAGAATGTTTCTCACAATTAATTTATTGTATCGGTTACGCGAACGGTAGACCATAAATAAGGATTAAAATGTAAGTTTTGTACATTTGATTTAGCATTATGCGTTACGAAACTGTAAGTTATGTTTTAGTTATTACATTGTAAGTGTAATTGAATTACAAGGGCAAAAATACAAGTATTTATGTTAAAAATGTTGTTAATCATTTTGTTTGATTTTCTTTGAACTGTATCATCAGTTTTATTTAATCGCTATAAATTCATAAACTTTGTTTAAAATTTCAAATATCAAACATTTTTAAATAAAAACACAAGCCAAGAAACTATTAGGGCAAAGAAAATCATATAATAAATGAACAAATATTAATACTTAAAAGAATATTGAATGATGATTGATTGTGTAATTTTACAAGTTTCTATCGTATAAAAAAATTTGTGTTTTTTTGAAAACTGAGGGTGATGGAGCAATTCGATTTCCGGATTCGTGTTTGGGGCGAGGAACTGTATCAGGATCACTCAATAAGTATTACAAGACAAAATTTGTTTCGGACAGTGTTTTTGGAGCACAGAAATTGTCAACGTTTTTTGTTTATTAATGGAGAAAGTTACCAACGTTTGATCTTCTTTCTTTAGGTGTATGTATATTTATAAAATGCATAATCATTGTGTTTTTACGTATTTCTACCTAGGAAGCTTGTTGGGGCCAAGTTCGTACGCGCTAGGGACCAGCGATCAAAGTATGAATTGTGTACTGGTATCTGCGTCAAGTTCGTGCGCTGCTTCCATGGCTCCTGCTAACGGAATATATACGTCTGATGGTAATGCCAGTATGTTAAGTTGTTTGTTACCTTCGTTACCATCGTTGCCTTCACTTTCCTCGCCGCACGACGTATTTCGACACGGTGAAATGCTGCGAGCTGGTATCGCGTACCACGAGTTGAGACAAAATGCAAAGCAAATGCAGCGTACAGACGTCACTTAACTTTGTCAGACGCGTGTCGTTTTTATGCCTTGATCTTCAACATCAATTAAAATATTAATAAAGGAACATAGATGTTAATACTATATCCATCGTTCTTACCGAATTCTCCAATTCTTTGTAAAAAACGTTATCAGAAATTTATTGCTATTTTAAATACTTCTTTTTCAATACGTTCCATTTGCCGAATGTTTGTCTTTCCAATTTGATTTAAGTAACTTATATTTAGTATCGTAGTACCTACCTACTATTAACAATTCGTCCCAATTTTGAATCGAGTTAAAGAAAAATACCGATAAATATCTTCGTGATCTTTCACATATTTAATTTAAGGGATTAATAACTGTTACGAAGACCCCAAAATTTCAGATAATATTGATCAGAAATATTATGTATGTGTAGCAAGATTATCGAAGAACTGAAATTTTGTTCATTATGTTAGCACAAAAGTGGAAGGATGTTTCGACGAGATAACAAATAACTTACTGTTGAAGTCCTCTTCTCCTTTTAACAGTAGGTGCGACCAATACCGAAAATGAATATGTAATAAATGGTATTAAATGTTATAATGACTACGAGAAAAGCATTTTTACGATTGAAAATTATATAAAAGTATAACATATTAAATATGGAAATAAATGTCATAAATATAACAAAATACTTTATTTAATATCATTTTTCAACGAGACTGATTCATTTCATTTTGGTAATACAAGTAATCGTAAAAACAGTACAAAGTAGAATTCGAAACTATTGTTTTGGCATATACTGCAACTTCATGGGTTGTTTTTTTCTTTTATCGAATTTGTATGAAAATTTTAAAAAATACATAAGGAGGTTGTGGTTTCTATGAAAAAATAATCCCCGAAGAATATTTTACAGTACGTTTTCCGTCCATGCTTTCTTTCGTTAAATACCATCGTCGAAGGAATCGATGGAATTTATTTACACGATGAGATTCACTTCCTCCGAGTGGTGTTCCGTACCGCCAATTACGAACGGCCAACTTCTTTTTGAGATTCCTTCGATTTCTCCTTGCAAGAGATTTAAGAGATCGTCGAGATATCGCATCTCGTGAATGTCCTGTCGCAGTTTGTACGCACTGGATGAGATGTCCGCCATTTTTCGTTCGTCACACTGTAAAGTGCAATAACATAATAATTTATGTTCATCTTCTTAAAGCAATGTTGTTTAACTGGTGTTTTTTTTCGTACACAATGTCATTCAACGAGTATAATTTGAAAGATTTTTACCTGAAAACTCGTTCTTAGATTACGAATATCCCTGTAAATATCCTTGTTATTGGACTGAAGATCTTCCACTTTCTTTCGGAGGTGGTAGACCGAATTTACAGAATTTTCGCGAATCCCTGGTACTTTTGCATCAGTTTCGATCGTCAGGGCCAGCCTGGTTAAATTATCGTGGGTAGAAGTGCTGTTGCAAAAACGATCTTCTTCAAGTAGAAGCACTGCTTTCTCGGGATCGGTATCAAGGACTTCAAGAATTGACATTACCTCGTTGATAGCAGTACATCGTCCCTGAAAAATAAAGCGTACCTTTAAATTAACCGTACGAATAGTATTCCTGTTTTTTACTCAATTTTCATCGTACGTAACGATTCGTTTCAGAAATGGTTTCTGGTGGATGATTTTTCGTCGATTTTTAACGGTGAGGAAAGAAAAATGAAACGCTTAAGCTATATGTATATACTTGCAAATAAGAAGAGGAAGAATAATTAAGTGTTAGGTAAAGATTTACTAGAAATAAATGGTGCAGCAGAAGGGTAGACATAGAGATAGATATTATTAATATCATGTTACCTGCGATGTGTCGAGCTTGTAATTCGTCGATGCTAACTCGTCGGAAAGACACAAAGGTGTGTTTTGTATGTCGCTGTATGTATCCGAGCTCCAGTCGTTGCTCTGGATACCCGAGGTGTCCTCTAGAGAGGAGTTACAAGTTTCAGTCTTCTTACAGTCCTCCCAGGCGACGGGGAGCCTCTCGTAGCTGGACCCTTTGCCTTCTAAGTCGGCTGTATCCAATGCAGATAAGTTCTTATAATCCGTTACGTCTCTGTCATTATCCATTTTTGCGTTCTTGTTGTCGTAGCTTCGTTTATAATTGTTTCGATAATGTAAAACGATCGTCGGCACCGCTATTTCCGCTGGCTCGGATCGATTATGGGGTTTTGATCGTGCCGTACCTAATCAAACATTATAATTCGAGTCTCGAAAAAGTAGAATTCCTCGATAATAGAATGGTAGACCGTTTACTATCCAAGAATAATTTGAAGGGATAAAGGCGTGTTCGTTGAAATAATCACAGTGTTCAAGTTCTTTTTGTTTTTTTTTTATTCTCGGCAGCGTCTTCTGGAGAACTCTCTTTTTTTCGTTCTACCAGCGTTTATGTAGCTGTCCGTTTTCTTCGGCCAACCCCCTAAAAGGTGGGGTTGACCAATTACCGCGTTCGAACCCCGTCAAATCGTACCGCCCCCCTTCTTATGCCTGCAGCACGCTTCCTTGAAGCAGGGGGTGCGATTTGACGGTGTTTGCGCTTGCTGGCGAAAGTGGCAACGCAGCGGAATTTCCCAAGATCCTAGGTCGGCAGCGTGACCAGCCGATGGTCGCCAGACCTTGCGTCGAAGACCTTTAGGGAAACTCAGGGGTTATGACACTAGCGATTTACCATCGAGGCCGTCGACAAATTCTTACAATGAACATGCTTTCTAAAAACTCTAATTCCAGAAACGGCTTTCTCAAAGATAGCTTCGCTGTCGTCCATGTCATAAACCGTGCTAGCCGTTTGCATGTCCGATGCGTTTTTACTTTGTACGGCTAGCCGCTACAAATTCATTTCTTTCTCTTGTCAGGGATTTTAGGGAATCAAATATACTACCATATTGTAGGAACTCTGGACCGTTCCAAATTCGATTACGATTCTAAAATGTCCTTATTTGAATTGTCAGAATTATACACTGGAAAGGATTCTTCAATGACAGAAGTTTAAACGAAAAGTACGTCTAACGAACGCGATGCGAGCCGATTTCACGGATATTGGTAGAAAGCGAAACTTTACTAGGTCAGACACAATGGCCGGGTTATATGTATTCAAGTTAGCTGACGGCAGGCTTGCTGGGAACAAGTTTGCGATCTGCGCCGTTCCACGCTCCGCGAATGTCGAACGAGGTTCTCCTATAAACAGGAAAATACCCACCAACTTGCTTAGAGTTGATAAGATAATTCAATCGCCGCCGGCAACGAAGTGCCTTCCGTTGATTTTCATTTTCTGGCATGATTCTCGCCTGAGAGATGGATAAGTAATGGGGCGATGGAGTGAGTATTCTATACTCCTGAGATCTAATCAGCCTTTCCGGGGTGTAGCATATGCCATGAAATCCATGCGATTTCGACCCCGATTCGTCGAAGTACTTTTCAGCCTCTTCCGCTGGAAACACCGCGACCTCCTGCAATTTCAGAAACTACATTGTAATATTGGTTGGCAAATTAATGCGTCAGTTGTGAAGATATATTTTTAATCGTAACGTCTGTTTAATGCTACTTGAAAAATTTTACGTACACAATTGTTATGACACTTGATCGAAACGCTTAATCTACGTTGTACGTTTGAGAACTGAAGAGTGAATTGAGATAGCAATACGAAAATTCTTCGAAATTATCAATGTTTACTCACCGATATTAGTAACCGAAGTCGAAATGTATCGCATTATTTAGGTTATTTATTAAAGTAAATAAAGTGTTATATGGGCGAATGTACACGAATGCTATGCATGTAGTAGAAAGCAGGGAGTTGCACAAGATTAAATATTTGGGACAGACTTTTGAGAAATTTAAAATTTTTAAGTATGGAAGTTCGTGCAAAGATATAATGGTCGACTGATAAGGAAAACAAAGGAATCGTAAGTTGATAGAGTGACAGAAAAAGATATTGAGATTTACTGAAAAATTATCTGGAACTCGTCGAGAATTTAACTGTCATGTTTCTTAAGAATTTTGGAAATAGGATGATAATATTCTGTTTTTAGTAAGTTCCTGTAAAAGACACGAATGTTAGGATGAAACAGCGTTAGTGACGCAGTGTTTGTGGCTGAGGAGAAAGTTGGAGTTGTGAAAAATATCAGAATTCTTTCGAATGTTGCAATTGGTAATCAAAATAATATGAACAAACATAAACACGACGTATCTCTTAACGCGGTATCAATATTTTAATACCTCGCGTACAAAAACATGCTCACAGCCGTTTCAAAATCGCAGGACACTTGTTTTTACCAGAGATCAACAAACTTAACAAATGTGTTTATTTGCTATAAATTATGTATTCCAATGTTAGAGTTTAACATTAGTTACGTGAAATGAAAATATTAATCTAACAATTTTTAAGATTTAGCTAAGGCAGAAACGGATAAGTTTATTTGAATAATTTTATTTTTTAATTTTTATACGATCGAATCGAATTTTTTCAAATTTAAATTATTCCTTTAAGCTAGTGTGTTTTGGCAGTGTTATTTTTTTCTGCTCCACACGTCTGTTGCCATCAAGTATTTTCAAAATTTAATTTTAATCAATTTTTAGGCTTAAGAAATGGAATGCCAAATCGAAAGAAACGAGCACTTTTGACGCCTGTTTCTCTTAGCTTTCGATCAGACGAGTTTCTTGAAAAAGAAAGAAAGAAAGAAAGAAAAAACGAGATGATCAATGCGAAACTGTGTGTTCAACAAATCGTCTCGATGGAGCTATCCAAGAAAAACGGCTCGATCGGCGAAATGGCGCGATTCTTCAACACAACGCTTGTCCACACAGTGGACGATCGTCGATACATTGAAATAATGGTAGAGAATGGAATGGTGGTTCACTATTCGCATTCTCAACTTATGTTCCAACCCAATATATTGTCTTTTCACTCTTGATAATAATTTTTGATTACTGAGATAGGTGTAGGATCAATTTCAAATAATTTTTTATTTCGTTTAAAAAGTTAACACATTGACTGCCACGCCAGATGTCCTCGACATTTTGTTGGAATCCGGGTAGTCAAGAAATGCTCCTTTTGTATAATCAGAGTTTATTCATGATCGTTGAACACACGCCGAACTCAACTATGAAGAATTTCCAATGGAAGTTGACTCTCGACAAGGCGTTAACACCCGCAGACTTCTTGTGCAACTCTAAGGCCCCTGGCCCTGCGGTCACAGGGGTATACGTATATGTCTTAGCGATAGTAGGGGAGAAGGACCCTTAGACCTAGTGACTAACGAGCCTTGTGACTAACATCGATGACGTATCGATGTTTGGCCTATTGGTCATCCACCAATTTGTTCACATATTCAAATATTCAATAATTCAATGGTGAATTTGTTATTTTACGATATTTCAAATTAAAGTAGCGTTGTTTACAATTTTACAAGTTATTGGGATTCTTGTTCTTTGTAAGTTCAAAGTGTCGGTCACCACCGTGGCAATCAACGTATTAAAGAACAAACTTTTACCTACCGGTTCATCCCCAATCGCATCCTGTTCGATAAGGGCCACGTCGAGATCGTCGTGAATCAAAGACGCGAGTTCTATCTTCTCGCAGTTATCGTTTCGTTCCTGCCCGAATTCCTGTGCCAGAGAATAACTTTCATTGTCGTCGGAGTCGATGCAGGAAAGCATCGACTCGGACGATTCAAGAGACAGGCAGTCTTTGCTTTGACTGGACGTCGGTGACATTGGATCCTCGTCTTTGCTTAGCCACCATCCGAAATCGTCCTCGTTTAAAGTCTCGTTAAGGTTCGCGTCGCCATTGCTTCTTCGTTTCAAACAGAACATTGTTAAACTCTGTCGGTGTAGATCTTCCGCGCTAATTCTCACGTCTTCGTTCGGTTATTAGAAGAAACTATAATGAAAACAGCTAAAGTTAATGTTTTGATGCATAGAAAGGCGAAAAATGAAAAATTATGTTATTCCTCCTCCATTATTAGGCAAATGTGACAAATATATAAATCATTTTGATCTGTCTATTCCTCGTGTGTCCAATCCTGACAATTACAACATTGAACCCATTAGATTTACTCTATAGAATTTCTTACGCATAATGCAATTAATATTCTTTCCCTTTTCTTTTTGATATTTTGATATTTTTATACCCCGACTGTACTTATAAATTTAATTTATAAATTAAATTTTTAATTTTATGCCGACAAAGACCTGCAATATAATTCTTATGTGGTTAAAAGTAGGACAGATTACGGTTGTAACATTGTAAATATCTCGAAATAATAATAAATATTAACTCGAGCTTACATATGATATGAAAGTTAACATTTCTTACTACTTTAAAATTGTAATTAAATGTTCTTTTAGCAAATTTAACTTCTAAGTGGACTCTCAATCTCAACTGAATTATTTTAATTATAAGTTTTCATTAATGATACGCTTACGGATGCTCTGTAACGATCATAATTTCTTTATGAAACACCAAATTGAAGATTTAAAAAAGAAGGATTATTTGGGCCGCTGCGACCTTCCGCAAGTTTAAAATAATAATTGTTTAATATATATCAATGTAATTATTTGACAGTTCATGTAATCTTCCATTAGTTCCTTAATTTTTAAACGCTTCAAAGGAAAGTTGATTTCCATTTACCAAATTAATAAGAATCAACATTAAATAAAATAATTCAGTTGAGATTGAGAGTCCACTTAAGGGTTAAATTTGCTAAAAGAGCATTTAATTATAATTTTAAACTATTAAGAAATATTAACTTCCATATCATGTTACATAAACTTGAGTTAATATTCATCATATATTTCGAGATATTTACAATGTTACAACCGTATTCTGTCCCATTTTTAACCATGTAAGAATTATATTGTGGGCCTGGGTTAACGATGTCGGCATAAAATTTAAAATTTAAACTATTTTTTAATGTATTCAGATAGATCAAAAATACTAAACACCATTTACCTGAAATTTAGAAATTTATTAATGGAAATGGAGTCACTAAGTGTACTATTTTAAATGACACTCACTGTACATATCAATGAATAATGAGAATAATGGTTCGACAGTGTCGATGAGTATAAATGGGTCTCAATTTCGAACAGAAATAGTAACTAAGCCAGTAGGTGAAACAACAACAACCTCGTATGTATCTCCGATCAAGTATACGAAGAGTACAACGAAACGACGAGAAAGTGATTTTATGTACACTTGCTCGGCTTCTATGTCGGCGAGGAGGACGTGACGGAGGCTTAATATCTAAGAGTAACAAACTATCGATACCTATAATCGGACGATCTTCGACGTCGTTCGCACCGAGTTTGCTGGCAGAACGTCTTTTACGTTCGAACGGAACCGTCGTTGCTCTTCTCCCGCGAAAATCGTATTGTTCAGGGTGATCGTTGACACGGATCCCTTTTACTATTTTCTCGTATTCTTGACGCCACATGCCGGATCGACGGTCGTTCGAAGCATCGCGTCGTCACTACTGCGCGTCGATTGTTCACTAAACACCCATTTCCTTGACCACTGGTCGTCATGGGGACACTAACTTAATAATCCAGCGTCCCTCGTCGTGTCGTTAGCATGCTCGCAGTTTCGTTTAGAACGACCGCGACGATTAACGTTCTCGGCTCATTGGATCTCGCTTACCGGCTTCGTAATTTTATTTCTGCGCGAGGCTCACTCGATTCCTCGTCAAAGTACGATCGCCAAATGGAAATTTCGGGAAATTTGCCGATCGAGATCCCAGCCACTGCACTCCGTTTCGTTTTCGAAAATCGTTTTCACTCCGTTTCGTTTTCCGGAATATTCTCCTTCGCGTTTAGAGCGTCGTATCGTCCGACACAATTTAGACGGTATTTCCGCGAGCAGAAAATATCGTATCGACGTTAATTGATTCACTTATCGCGTCACAGTTTCGTAATGGGATCGTCGTTGAACTCTTAATTTACTTCGACAATCTTCTTTCGCTTCGATGTTCGAATTCCTACTGACGAATTGTGAGTCACGCGAAATTCTCACTTGGACTCCCGACGGGAGGTGTGTGTCTCCTCGCGACGATTGGTTATTTGTTTCCCATAGGTGCACTCTAAATAAATATTTCGATACTCGTTCGTCGATTCTTACGTACGGACTCGACGACTTTCGCCATATTTTCCGTTAACAGCGAGTTCACCGACTACAGCGACGCTGATACGACAGCGAACACAAGCTTTTTATCTGTGAACTTGTTTTGAAAACATACGAAAAATTACTGTACTGCTCGGTTCGTTCAGATGCAAAATGTACAGTGGGTCGCGCGTATACACTCGTCTACGAAAATTTTGAACGCCAAGGAAAATATACTGTGGGAGGCAAAATCGTTTCTACAGTCGAAATATAGAAGCGAATACAATAATATTTTTCATTCTTTTAAATACACACGCTTATATTTGTAATATTCAACTAATTAAATACAATGGATCAAAGTAAAACTCCGATAACTATAGTTTTCTACTTGACAAAGCAATTGGTAGTGCAAGAAAAAAATTTTTTACAGAAGATAAAATTATTCCAGGTCAATCAAATTTACTAGAAACGAGAGCAAAATTTATCTACATTAAGTCATAAAAAATCAAAGTTTCGGAATCACCGGTAACTTTGTCATTTGATAGCTGCAATTGTTTTCATTTAATGTTGAATGAGTGTGAAATAATAGAAATTTGTGAATTATCGTGGAACTTATTTTAATATATAAAAAAATGGGAGGGCAAAAATTGGTATAGCTGACTGTTTCAGCCTTTATAAAGGACTACCAACTAAATATTAAAATAAAATAAATATAATAAAAAAAAATTTATACATATATTCAAAAATTTCCTAATGTCCGAGTTTTACTTTAAGGTCACACACCATTATTTTTAAGATTTTGCTTTTCTGTTACTTAATGTATTATAGCTAAATATTGTTTTTATTTTTAGTAAATTCGTTAAAAAAAACTTTATATTCCGTTACAATTTTTTTTGTTGCATTACAAATTCCTTCATAAAAATGTAAATGTCCAAGTTTTACTTTGAGCAACTATCGTATATTTGAAATACAAATTTGTTAATATATCATGAAATGCCACTGACCGGAGAATAAAGTCCATTTATATTTACACGATAACGCGATTTATTTATCAATTGCACATTGGAGTCCATAATTTAAATATTTTTTCGTCGCCGTACTTTAAATAAATTTACTTACGAGGATACGAGGTTTATGTACTTTCTCGTTTTGTACTTCGTAGTAGATCGATTATCTTTTCCTGAATTGTCAATACATATACAATATAAGATTGTCCTTGAAAGTACATCATGAACAAACTGACGAGCGAGTTAGTCATCGTACGATGCCAAAACATATTCGTACGTTGAAATACACTGATATTATTATCGCATTACGATTTGAAGAAAATATTTAATCACGTATTATCGATATCGTTAATTTAATTCAATTCATATAAAATAGATGGTTTACAATTTTTTATTACGAACATGTCATTTTATCCGATGATTTTATATATTTATACAATAACTTTTAATCTATTACCGCATTGATATAATTTTAATACACAATAATTTGTAATTTTGAATAATGAAGTAAAATCACTTTGCTAATCGAATCGAATAATAATATTTATTAATATATCTTTTATTTAACATATAAATTCATGCAATTATTTGTAAACTTTGTAATTTCACTCCCACCGTAAACAAACTATTTTCTGTGACGACACATTTTGCACGTTAATACAATTTTCAGTATTTAAATTCATTATCACCGAATTAAACATGTTGATAGTCACTACATTTTAAATAATCGAACTAGACTTCGTCACTCATTTTTGTAAATTCCATTATAATTTCACTTGTTAATTTGTCTGGAAAATCCGAACGTAATTAAGATAGAAAACGATGCTAATCGAACGAGAAACAAACAAATTAGGCGTTAGCTACGCGAACATTTGTATACATATAGCGGGACACGTTGTAAGATTCTTTTGTTCAGAAATATTTTTGTGTCACTGTGAAGTAAGATTTTATAGTAAATGACATATAATTAAGATTATCTATGAGTGCTATTACCGCGTGTACAACTTTAGCCATACTAGCTCGATTACGTTTGCCACAATGATTATGTACATACATTTATATACTTTCCCACGTGATCATGACAAATTCTACAATAGTGGCGTGAGTACCTTCCCGAGGTTGGTAATTATTATGCAATACGATTCCACGTTGCATTTTATCGACGCTTCTCAGTCAGTCCCTTACGTCGTGGCTCTAAAATTTAGTACAAGTATTACAATAAAAATATTAAACAAATACATTGATCGATTCACCGGTAAACAGCAAGTATGCCTATTCTTCATCCAAGTAGTCAATTCCCCATTGTGGCTTTAATTACGAAAATGAAAGATAAATAAAGTATTGTTGACACACCTACCTATTAGAATGCCAATCTCGTAATGAAAGTTCTTTCTCTTGCGTCAGAAAAGAAATGGTTTGTTCTTAACGCGGAAAGTTGGTCGCAACAAACAATTTTTTTCAACGTACGTTAACTGTGGCTGCAAAACACGATTCGATATTATAATTAGTACACATCGTACTGTATTTTGTCGATTGTTGAAAGAGAAACTGGTATGTTTAATAAATAAAACGTGTGCATTTTCGTCGAACGAGGAGCAAAATGATATTATGCAAATTAAATTAAATTAGCACCGTACACCGAACGAAATTTTCGTGAGGTATGGACGACGGACACGGAAGATGGGATAGGATAGCGGCTTAGACGAGCCATTGCACAGAACTGCGGACGATAACGCGTCCGAGGTAGATTGTCTTTTAGATTTTGCAGTTTTCTAGTAGTCAGCCTGTGGTCTAGGGGTACGATTCACCACCGTAAATCCAGCATATGGATAAAGACGGGTATTCGAGACTACATGCTGATTTTCATTTTTTCTCATGGAATTTTTAGGTCAAAGGTCGACACATTCCGTTAGAAACGTCACCGCGTTAAAAGCTCGAATTTATTCCACATTTTAGGACGAATATTTATGAATGTGACGTCAAAAGGCCTTGGCACGGGATAAAAACGAGGTGCATCAGCGATAACGTTATCGATAAGGTCGCTGCAGTTAGAAATAACGGGTGTTTTTCAATATTAGAATCCTCGACACTGTTCACAGATACTCCTTCACGCGATAGAAAAAAAAATCGATTCTTGTATACCTTATTCGAACGTAAATACTCATTTATCCAATGGTCGATTCAAATTTTTTATTCTGTTATTCTTATTCGACTTATCCGTTTGCAATATTAAGTATTTTATTTTATACTACCGTGTATACATAAGTGACTCGTCTATGAAATTATGATTGGCAGACCTTACTGTGCGTATGATAGCAATTATCGCGTAAACGATAACGCGAATTAAACCGACTCTGATTCATGCAGCGTCGTGTAAAACCGCGTAGGTGCATTTTGCGGTTAGGTATAAAGAAAACACGGGATACTATTCGTTGATGTAAATCGACACTCAACCGTGAAACTCGGCATCTTATATAAGAAAATAAAATGTACGCATTATTTTTCCCAGCAAAATTGTTATGGAAATCGAGCACGGTAAACTTTTCCCCTGGTACAATTTTATTTCTTTCGCTAGTCTTTAAGAATACATATAAGTATATTAAAAATATGGTACCAAAGTAAAGTAAACGAAAGGAAATAGGAGTATGATTACGTTCGTTACTCTATGAAATTGGATGACAAACTTGAACTGTTTAGTTTTTATACGATAAAATAAAAATTTATTTACTCTTAACAATATAATTTAACCCTTAAGTAAATTCTCAATCTCGACTGAATTATTTTACTTAATGTTGATTATTACCAGATTGGTAAACGTTACTCAACTTTTCTTTAAAGCAGTTAAAGAATAATGAACTAATAGAGCATTAGATAAATTTTCAAATAATTACATTTACATATATTAAATACTTATTAGTTTAAACTTGCAAAGGGCCGCAATAATCCACTTAATGGTTAAAATCTCTTTATAGAAAAAATGAAGACGTAGAACATGCAATATTGCACGTTCTGCTATTTAGTGTGTTACAAAAATGAGCGAACGTGATTTTTATGAATCTTTGATAGCATATTTTAAATTCCTTTACTGTAAATGATTTTTCTATATCAAAGTCTGCAACCTCTAACAAATGCACTTCTGCAAAAAGACTAAAATATACTTTTATTATTTCTTTTATCCTTCATATCCCTATCGTTTCTTGCGTGTGTCAATAATTTCGTGACTCACTGTAGCTCCTTCTGTTGCACTCCCATTTCAAGCTCCTAATGCTTTCACCATGTCAGCGTATTCACGGTTGCTGTAGCGATACATTGTTACAATTCGACTGATATAAACAAACAATAACAGTAGCCGGTAGTTATGCTGCTGAAGACAGAATATAAACATTAGAAAAGACAATGAACAGTGAAAGTGTAAACGAAAATGATTCTCGTAAACGAAGCTTCGAACGAAAAAACGTTGTTCCTTTTACTTATTTTCGCACGTAGAATCACCCTCTGCTCTGGTAAAACCCTGTGTATCGAAATCAACACATTTTTACATTCACGAGATATTCGTAAAACAAATCTATTCTTACTTGTGCGAATAAATTAAAAAAAAAATTTAACGGTATACAGGTAGCTCTCCTACAACACGGCATCTTATAACATGATTCATAAATTGCGAGAGCCCTCCTACAACACGGTTTCGCTTTAACACGATAAGAAAATTGCGAAAACTTTTGTACAACACTGTACTCCTACAGCACTGAATAACATGATTTTTGCTTAATATATTTAAAAACTAAATTACCTTAACATAACGACATGAAGGAATAATGAACTATAGTGACTTTACATGAAAAAATATAAACAAATTATAGTTTATTAAATTAAGGTTGCGTTAAATTAGAATAATATTTCTTGTTTTTTTTTTGTTTTATGTTATACATATCGAAGGTGTTTAAGCGTTACGCCGAGGTACGAGCAATCGCTCACGACCACCTACCATCATCCTCCCCTACCCCGCACGTAACACATTTATATTTTTCATAAAAATTAAGTTGCTTATGTAGAATTAAAAAAGAATATTTGTTTTTACAAAGTTTTTGGAACGTAACTCCCTTTTTTATACTGGCTCTGGGTCTCATATAACACGGTTTCACACAACACAGTATTTTCTAGGAACCTATCTACCGTATTATAGAAGGGTTACCTGTACGTTCGAAAAATAATTTGTAATCAAATCGGACGTAAATCAACACCAAAAGGGAAAACTGTATCCACTGGAACGTATTTGTAAAACAAATCTATTCTTCCTTGTAGGAATAAATTGAAAGAAAAGTTATACGGTATACTAAAAATAATTTGTAATGAAATCGTACGTAATGTAGTATATGTATACAATGTATCGGGGAATCGTCGGCGAGTTTGCTGCGTTCGACCGACGAGCGTAGCGAGACGCCGGCAACGTCGGAGAAAACAAACGCATACGGACAACGAAGATATTAGGAGAGTCGCATGGTAACGTTCGGTGTGCGAACACGTATTTTATGCATTTATGTTACGGCCGTGGGGCCAGCTTAGTACATCTACCCTTTACGTTTATACTTACTGTGTTTTTCTAATCTAAATATATACATATATATCCACCTATTATTACATTAGTGCTTCATTCCTGACTTTCCCGGAACAAAGACTACTACAGCTTCAGAAGTGGGATAAAACAACCTGAACATTTGTGTTAGTTTTGTTAAATTTGGTGGAACGGGAATATTGACTATGGTGTCTTTGAAAGATATTCCGAGGATACACGTAAACCTGGGAAGGGTTGCGGCTCAGTCGATTCGCGCTCTGCACAGGCTCGTTTTCGATGAAGAGGGCGACCGAAACAACCGCAAGCGGCTAAGGCATTTTACGGGTTTTACGTTCGAAAGTGCGACTGAGCTTGGATACAAGGTTGCGTCGGTGGTGGATGCATTTAGTTTGAGCGAGTTGATCGGGATCGCCGGTATATTGAACATCGACTCTGAGGGACAAAAAGAAGAAATTGGACAACGGGTTTGCAAGCATCTGTCCGATTTAACGTTGTTGAAGGAAGCTAACGCAGCGATGACCCTTTCAGAAGAGGAATCGGAAGACGAGGTGGTGGAAATGCCTGCCAGAAGCCGTGATGATACACCTAGATTTGCGTTAAATTTTCGAGATGTGGAAGACTCGATACGACCGTTTAACGGAACCGATGGATATCCCGTGGAGAGGTGGATGGAAGAATTTGAGGAAAATGCGACGTCATTCGCATGGTCCGACCTGCAAAAAACTCTGTTCGCGAGAAAATGTTTGAAGGGATTGGCGAGATTATTCGTGCAAGGTGAGAAGGGACTTTCATCGTGGGCACGATTTAAAAGTCGGTTACTAGAGGAATTTGCTACGCGGGTAAACAGTGCAGAATTACACGAAAAGTTGCGCACCAGGAAAATGCAGCGGGACGAATCGGTGCACGAATATTTTTTAAAAATGAAGGAAATTGCGGTACAAGGATCGATTGAATCCGAATCGCTAATACAGTACATTGTGGACGGGATTCCAGACGAGCCAATGGGAAAAGTTCATCTTTACGAAGCCAAGCATCTGAATGAACTTAAGGATAAATTAAAAATTTATGAACGAGTGCGGAACGTAAGTCGACCGGGGGTGAAGAAAGCACCTGTGACGCCGACGACCGGTGCAGCGAGCACGAGCAACGGAACGGGGAAGACGCATACGACATCAGGATACGTCAGACCACCACCTCGATGCTTTAACTGCAACGACGTGGGACATTTGGCCAACGCCTGTCCGAAGCCAAAAAGAAGCCCAGGATCGTGCTACATCTGTGGATCGGTCGAGCATCAGAAGCAGTCTTGTCCGCGGCGATCGGAAGCGTTGAGGGAAGGGAGAGGAGCGAGGAAGAGCGAGATGAATACGCACCTGGTTAATTTAAGGGCAAGCGAGATAAGTCCATGTTACACCGTCGAATTAATTTCAGATCTAGGTAAGATCGAAGCAGTTATCGATACCGGAAGTCCGGTATCATTTTTAAGTCGGAGATTAGTTCCCGCGAATGTTCAATTAAATAATTACGATCGTACGATGCGATTCGAAGGAGTGAACAGAAGCGCGATAGAAATATTGGGCCAGTTGAGGGAAAAAACATTAGTTTCGGGTTGCGAAGCAATACTCGATTTTTACGTGATTCCGGATCGAACGCTTAGTTGTGATTGCTTATTAGGTCGTGATTTTATTAATAATGACAACTTAGATGTTACGATCGGGAAATCGGTTATTATTCGCCCGAGCTCGATTGCGGAAATAATGAAGATAGATGTGATAGATGATAAAATAAATAACGATATTCTGGACAATTTAATAGTTAATCCGAATTTAGAATACGAGTGGCAGGAAAAAGTAGGCCAAATTGTTAACGAGCATTACGTGAAACCGGATAGACCCGAACTTCCAGATACAAAATTAGAAATGGAATTAATTTTGAAACCGAATCATCAACCCTTTTACTACAATCCGCGACGTTTATCGTACTGCGAAAAGAGTGCAGTGACAGCAATAATTCAGGATCTATTAAGTCGAGAGATTATCCGTCCAAGCTCATCGCATTATTGTAGCCCGATTGTGTTGATAAGGAAGAAAAATGGACAGTATAGGATGGCGGTGGATTACAGAGATCTAAACAAATTAACATTGCGAGATAATTTCCCTATTCCTAGGATAGAGGATCAAATTGATCAATTGCGGAACAAATCGTACTTTACCCGGTTAGATTTGAAGGATGCATTTCATCACGTTTTTATGAAAGAGAACTCAATTAAATACACGGCATTTACATGTTTTATGGGTCAATTTGAATACCTACGTATGCCTTTTGGGTTATCAAACGGCCCATCATTTTTTATGAGATTTATTAATAACGCATTCCAACAATTATTAAATCAACAAAAAATTTTGATATATCTAGATGATATTTTAATTGCCACCGAAACCCCTTGTGAAAATTTAGAGATACTTGCAGAAGTTTTTAAGGTAATAGTTAGAAATTGTTTAGATTTAAAATTAGCCAAATGCGCTTTTCTACTTACGGAAGTAGTCTATCTAGGTTATCGTATAGACTCGCAAGGCATTAGACCGAGTGAAGAGAATCTAAAGGCTGTGTATGATTATCCTATCCCCAGAAATTACCGCGAACTGCAGAGCTGGTTGGGTTTAGTTTCGTATTTTAGGAAATTCATAAAAAATTTTGCAGTAATAGCAAAACCGCTGTATGACTTGTTAAAATCCAAAGTCAGTTTTCGATGGGACGATGAGTTGCTAAATTGTTTTGAAAATCTGAAAAGAATATTAATGTCGGAACCCGTGTTAGCTATTTACTCGGTACACGCAGAGACTGAGTTGCATTGCGATGCGAGTTCACACGGATTTGGATCGGTCCTATTGCAAAAACAAACAGATGGTAAATTCCACCCTATCTGTTATTTTAGTAAAAGAACTACTCAAGCAGAGAGCAGATATCACAGCTTCGAATTAGAAGCATTAGCAATAGTTTACGCGCTGGAACGTTTTAGAATTTATTTGCAAGGAATACCGTTCAAAATTGTGACGGATTGTAACAGCCTGAAATTAACTTTGGAGCGAAAGGAAATAAACCCACGAATTTTGCGATGGTCATTAATTTTACGAAATTATCAATATACTTTGGAACACCGAACGGGGGATAAACTAGTACATGCGGACGCACTTAGTCGCGAATTTAGTGTGTTGATTATCACGGAAAATAGTTTCGAACAGAACCTTTCTATTTTACAGGATCAAGATCCACGGTTAAAAGTATTGCGAGAGGAATTGCAAAATTCCGAAAATAAATTTTACGAATTGAGCAATGGATTGGTTTACCGGAAGGTTAATAACAAACGTTTATTTTGTGTTCCATCTTCAATGGAGGAAAATATAGTTAGGAAAAATCACGAAGAAATAGGTCATCAAGGGGTAGATAAGACCCTCGAGTATATTTCGCGAATTTATTGGTTTCCGCAGAAGAGGCAGAAGATCCAAAAATGGATTGCGAATTGTTTGAAATGTATCACGTATTCGGCCAATGCGAACCGGGTAGAAGGCATATTAGAATGTCCGGATAAAAATTCAGTACCATTTTACTCCGTGCACATTGATCACTACGGTCCGTTGGAACGAACAAATCACCGTTATAAGTATATTTTCGAAGTGATTGACGCATTTACGAAATTTGTGAAATTTTACCCGACCGTCAGTACCAATGCGGACGAAGTAATACGGCATTTACGAACTTATTTTTCCGTCTATAGTAAACCGTACAAAATTGTTTCGGATCGAGGCAGCGCATTTACCTCGAATAAATTTAAGGAATTTTTATCGGAATTGAACATACAGCAGGTGTTAATTGCGACCGCAACACCACACGCAAACGGTCAAATCGAAAGAATAAATCGTTCTCTTACACCGATGTTAGCGAAATTAAGTCCTAGTGCCGGTACATGGAATCGAGTATTAGCAGAGGTGGAATATGCAGTTAATAATACGGTAAATCGTTCTACGGGAGACACGCCGAGTCGATTATTATTTGGAATCAATCAAGTAGGTACTGTGTGTGATGATTTGCGTAGGGTGCTAAACGAACGGGATGTTGATGATCAGGAACTATCTACGATAAGAGAGAATGCCGTCGCGAAAATTCGTGCAACCAACGAATATAATAAAAAATATTATGACAAACGACACAAATTACCAGTACAGTACAGTGTAGGTGATTATGTAGTTGTAAAAAACATAGAGGTTACGACGGGAGTTAACAAAAAGTTGTTGCCAAGATTTAAAGGTCCGTATGTCGTCAAGAAGGTGCTTGACAAAAATCGATATGTTATTAGTGACCCGGAGGGGCATCAAGTAACCCAACTCCCGTTTGAAGGTATATCTTCCCCAGAAAATATGCGAAAATGGGTGAATTTGGATAATGAAAACAATTAAACAATCTGTTTCTTATACTTTCTTCTGTCTTACCGGTTATATTTTGTGTTTAGTTTACTTGATGCGTCGCATTGTGAATGTTTGGTAATTCATATTGTTTGTTTTAGATTGTAATATGCGTTTCATAAAAAATATTGTATTTAGTATATTCTATGGTTTACTTGTGCTATGCGTTAATTTGATTAGTTTGTGCCATGACGATTGAGGGCAATCTTTGGTCAGGGTGGCCGAACTGTAGTATATGTATACAATGTATCGGGGAATCGTCGGCGAGTTTGCTGCGTTCGACCGACGAGCGTAGCGAGACGCCGGCAACGTCGGAGAAAACAAACGCATACGGACAACGAAGATATTAGGAGAGTCGCATGGTAACGTTCGGTGTGCGAACACGTATTTTATGCATTTATGTTACGGCCGTGGGGCCAGCTTAGTACATCTACCCTTTACGTTTATACTTACTGTGTTTTTCTAATCTAAATATATACATATATATCCACCTATTATTACATTAGTGCTTCATTCCTGACTTTCCCGGAACAAAGACTACTACAGTAAATCAACACCAAAAGAGAAAACTGTATCCACTGGGACGTGATTGCGCGGTACGTATAATAGGGGTCGCGGTCGACGTGGGTGATCGATGAATCGAAAGAAAGCCACGTAGCCGGAAAGCGAGATTCGAAGATAAGGGGTCCGGAGATCGCACGAAAGTCGGAAAGATCGAGGAAGTTTCGAACAACCGTGGAAGAAATCGCTTCGTAGGGATCAGATTCCGGGCGTCGAGTGCGCATGCGCGAGCAAAGATGGCGTCCGCGGCACGAGACGGCGGGGATGGCCGGCGAGTGTACGCGACGTCGCGTCGCGACGTGGGGTTTGGCGGGGTTTGTCGGATCGATAGCGCGCATGAGGGTGCGCGAACACCTAGGTCGGTGATCGTGACGACCTAGCCGCTACTGTGAGTCGAGTATCCGATGAGTATTCCCCGATGTCAATAGCGTACGTGCGTCCGTGTGACGAGCACCGGGTTCGGTAGCTCGTCGACGAGAATCGAGTCGTGTCGTGGTGTCGGTCCATCGCGCGCGCCTGTCCCGTTTACAACGTCGCGACGCGTCGCGTTGCGTCGCGTCCGCCGGTTTCCATCGTGGTTGGATCGCGCTCGAAACGAGAACCGATCGGACGGATCCGTTCTCCGCGTGTGACTCTGTGCACGAAGTTATGTTCACGGTAGTTAGGCACGGGACTGCCGCGGAAGCCGGTATGGTGTCTCGTTGAGAGAAAGTGTCAGGTATGTCCGTGATGTCTCGAGGTTCGCCCTGGTGCTGGACCGCGCCAGGGACGAGGAAATCCACTGTTTGTCTGGCACTCGCCATCCTCGTCGGTTTGTTATCGCGAGGTGTCGTCGCTGAGAAGAGTAAAAAATGTGAGTAAATTGTTCACAACTTGCGCTCCTCTGTTCCCCATTACGTTTCAATTTCCACCGTTTGTTTCGTTAAACGCTTTTCCCACCGTCGTGCGAATCCGAGCGTGGAAAATTAGCGTCCTTTCAGAACGAAATGCGATTTGAATATTTCGTGCCATGCGCTTCGGGGCTCGCTTCCTGAAGTTTGTCGCGATTTACCCGAGAACTTGTGTGTGTCGCATTTGCGAATTACGCATCGTTGACACTGTTCGCGGAACGACTCGATATTAAATAAAGGCATCCGCGCGAACGGAATTTTTTGGTGAACGGTTTTATCGTCGCTGTCGGAGCTTTGGTTTCGATTTCCATAGTAAACATTGACCGGTTTAACCTTGAACGCGACTGTTCGGAAATACTACGTGGGTAATTAATAGAAACAGTATGCTCTCGCGCTGGAAAGTTTGAATTAGGAAGTTGCGGATACTCCGGAGGCGCAGTCAAGGAAAAAGTTAAATTACCCTCGAACTTTAATTAAAGTACAATCTGGGGGAAGTTGAATTCCATTTTTCAGCCCGATACGCGAACTTTCTCCATTCAGAGTTGTTTCTACGCGCGTAATTTTTTTTCCTCGTAATTTATACGATCGTGCTAAACGGTTGTCTTCGTTGTTTATGTTATGTTACCAAGACCATGTGGGAAATAGTTGGACGCTGCATGCAATCTATCATACCCTTCTAAATTAGAACGCGAATTAAAAGCTCGTACAACGTGCTACGATATCTTTTTAATCGATCAAGATTAAAGGAATTTTCGCTGTTGTTTGTTGATTTCTCTCTTACCTTTTCTGACACATAATAAACTACCTCCGGTTTTCTTCACACATTCCACGGTCGCACAAAGCTTTTCCACTCTCCGAAATTCAGCGCGACGCTCGCCGTCTTTGTTCTCCGGGAATAGAATAATAACGGGAGCAATAAAATGTCGTTTGTATCGTCCGATAAATTATTCATTGATCGAGCGAAGCTTTAAAAACGGATACACGTTTCGTTTTCAGTTTTCCTTTTTCAGCTATGCTCGTTAGATTAAATTATTCGCCCTGTCCAGTTATATTCGTTCGAAACTTACATTTTATTAACGATGAGTTTCGCCAGAGGCAATGAGAAACGGTGACGATGAACGTTCGAAGCGTTGCTTTCGTATCGCTCTCATTCTTTTAACCCTTTGTTATACAATGACGAGTCTGAATTGTTGCAAGTTCTTGATGTCAAGTTTTACAATCACCAGGCTAAAGTTGCTCCTTCACCACGAAAACTGACTAAAACATCATAAAAATGGTCCAATTTTTAAATAGCCATAACTCCTACAATAGTGAATATATTTCATTGAAATTTTTGTCCAAAGTAGAGCTCATGTATACCTACAAAAAAGTATTAGACAACTTTTCCGTACAGCGTCAAACAAGTTGATTAAACATGAAAAACGAATTTGTAAGAAAAATCGACGCGGGGTAGGTACATACCTACATTTTTCGGCGAAAAAAAAATTTCAAATCTTTTTAAAAAAATTATTTTTGGTTGCGGAGGTCAATTACAATCATTTTTGGTGAATACACATAGCTCCGAAATCCTACGCACTTTGGAGAAAGAAACTCAGTACGGGTGGAACTTTAAACGTTAGTAACTTTTTAACAAAGCCTCCATCAACAAATTGGTATTCTTGATTTTCGTCCTATTTTGGCCACTAGAATCTCCCGTTACAATTTTTCCCAAGGGTGACCGAACACATATTTACATTCACGAGGTATTCATAAAACAAATGAATTCTTTTTGTGATCATTCTTAGTACGAATAAATTTAAACAAAATTAAATGATATACGTTTGAAAAATTATTTGGAATTAAATAGTACGTCAAGGGGTTAACACGATAGGAAGGATACAAATGATAAAGTGAAGAATAAATTATTGAAAAAATATAGACCGAGTCTAGAATGAGAAATAGTTTTGGAGACGCTGCTGGTGTGAAATTATACCGGAGCTATGAGTCCTGGTAAACGGGCTGGATATTACGTGAAAATTGCTGTAATCACGCCAAAGTAACCGGAACAACGTTAATTGTTTGCTCCAGCGTAGTGCAGCGCAGCAGGAAGATTGCTGCGTTGCCACGGCCAGCTCACGACGAACGTGACACGGACCGATAAACGAAGCTAATTGCACCAGTGAAATTAGTTCGGCCGAATGGCCGGGTACCGCACTGATTTGCCGATCATGTGCGATCGATTAATGTCGATATTATACCGTCGATCAAAACGTATGCGTATCATAATAACTAATATTCCTTGTTATCGATTCGCTCGATCGTAACAATTTCCACCGCAACAGAGAGATAAACATCGCTCTCGAATATTATAAGGGGCCATTCTACCTTGTAGGCAAGAAAAAAAAAAGTTTCTTTGTGATTTTTGTTTGCGGGCTATTAAAGAGCGATTAATTCCGGGGTTTGTGGATGTATTTGTTATACAGGGTGTCCCGTAAATAGTGTAAGAACCGGAAATGGGGGGTTAAGCGGAAAAACAATCTAATGTTTGTAAAAAGACTTTATTTACGTCAGTTGTCTCCAAGGAGTCCGGGCTAAGACTGGACTTTGCCTTCACTCGGATCTCCCTAAAATACCCATTCACACACACTCATACATACACAACCTGGCCCCGGAGGCACGTGTTCGGTGACACGTGTACAGTAGCGGTACCGATTGTCGGCAGCGGTGCCGATTGTCGGTAGCGGTGCCAACAATCGGTACCGCTACTGTACACGTGTCACCGAACACGTGCCTCCGGGGCCAGGTTGTGTATGTATGAGTGTGTGTGTGAATGGGTATTTTAGGGAGATCCGAGTGAAGGCAAAGTCCAGTCTTAGCCCGGACTCCTTGGAGACAACTGACGTAAATAAAGTCTTTTTACAAACATTAGATTGTTTTTCCGCTTAACCATCCTACAAAATCAGAAGTGGGATAAGCTCGTGAATAAGCTCGCGGGTGAACGGATAAGTACGCGAATCAGTTTGCGAATTAGGAAATCCGAATAAACGAATAAGTTCGTAGATAATTAGTATTCAGATACGCGAATAAGCCGCGGAATTAGTGAAACTTTTGAAAGGTGCAACGATGAGTAGTCTTACGCTGGCAGCGCTAAAAGAATTGTGCGAGAAGCAGCAATTATCAACGGGTGGAACGAAATTGACATTAGTCAACCGGCTATTAGAAGCAGGGATTCCGAGGGAAACATTGCAGCTTACCACGGATTCCGCTGTAATTCAGGAGAACTGGACAATGGATGCGGAGGTGCTGCAGAACACGAGTTTACAGGAGGCACCCCGGAGCAGACCCCTTACAGAATTAGAGCTGCTGCATCGGGAACGAGAGTTAGCGCAACGGGAGATCCAACTGTTAAGAAGAGAGCTAGAAGCAGTCCGTCTGACCCCCAACTCGCGCGACAGTCCGATGCGTGCGCGTGAAACCAACTGGTGCAACGTCAAGGAGATGATTGGGAATTTCGATGGCAGTAACTGCAAAGTTGGAGTTTGGGTAAGACAAGTGCAGAGGCTGGTTGACGCGAACAGTCTCGACGACCAAGCAGCGAAGGCTCTCGTCTGCCACAAACTGACAGGAAAAGCTCTCAAGTGGTACTATTCGAAGCCTGACTGTGTCGACATGACTTGCGACGAGGTGTTGAGGGGACTGTGCGGTATGTTCGAACAAAAACTTAGTGTCCTCTCAATGCGGCATGAATTCGAGCAGAGAATCTGGAAGGCAGAGGAATCATTCATTGATTACGTGCATGAAAAAATACTATTAGGAAATCGGGTACCGATAGCGGACAACGAAATTATCGAGTACGTTATTGAAGGTATCCCTGACAAGGGTATCAGGTCCCTTGCGCAGGTTCGAAGCTTTGAAACCATCGATGAGCTGATACGAGCCTTTGGGAAACTAACGCTATCGCAAGACGGACAGCAACAAAAATTTTTTCGAAGAAAGGAGACAAATCAACCCACGGAGAAAATCAGCAAGGATCGGCGCGAGCAGAGGGAGCTACGGCGAGTGAGGTGTTTCAACTGCAACGGCAGCGGGAACTACGCGACGGAGTGCAGAGAGCCAAAACGCGAGCGAGGTACCTGCTACAAGTGCGGCAGTCCAGGACGTAAGGTCGAAAATTGCCGAGCCCCGCAGAACAGCGTCAGCTACGTCACCACTCCAAGGAACGTGGATGACGAGTTTTTCCCAACGGTAACATTAGAAATTACCGAAAAATGTAAGTCGTTTTCTTAGATGCGTTGATTGACTCTGGCAGTCCCATTAGTTTTGTAAAAGAGAGTTGCGTACCGCGAAGTTATGTATGTCGAACTGCAAACGGTAACGGATTCTCGGGTATAAATGGTAGCGTAATGCAAATTATCGGGTAGATCGAAGGGATTATTACTCACAATGGCATGAAACATAATGTAAATTTGCGGGTAGTAGAAGAAGGAACAATGAGGAATTTGATAGTGTTGGGCAGGGATTTCATGAAGGTCGCGAAAATGTCAATACAACTAGACCCGGAAGTTTTTGAAATTATGAATATAGAATCACGGGTAGTGAAAGATAGTTCAACGCCACAGCTAATAATTAACGAAAACATCCCTCACACCGTCCACGAGCAAGCGCGCCAAATTTTCGAGGAATGTTACATAAAACCAATTAGACCCGAGATCCCGCAAAACCAGAACACCATGGAATTATCGTTGACTGACGATAAACCTTTTTATTGTAATCCGCGAAGGTTATCTTACGCAGAAAAATCGAAATTAAAAGGAATTATTGAAGATCTATTGGAAAAAGGTGCAATTAGAGAAAGCGCGTCGGAATATGCGTCACCGATCGTTTTAACTAAGAAAAAAAACGGAGAATTGCGAATGTGTATCGATTTTAGAAAATTAAACAAAGTAACTAAGCGGGACAATTTTCCATTGCCACTGATAGAAGA